CCCGTCCCCACGGCAGAAGATGCTCCAGTCCCTGAAGAAGGTCCCCCAGCTCCTCCAGCTGAACCCCAAACCCCAGCCCCTGAACCTGAGCCTGAGAAACCAAAGGCAGGTGAGGACACTGAAGCGGGGAGGGGAGGTGGGCAAGGCTGGGAAGGTTGTGGAGGGATGGAGGGACAGATGGAAGAAGTCATCAAGGATATTTTTTGCGGTGGGATAGCAGGGCTGGGAGGTTAGGAGGATGGGGTGGGGGAGACTGAAGCCCAGCATGGAGGTTGGGCAACTGCCCTCCAACAGCCCTGGTACTCGAGAGCCTGCCCTCACCACTGCGGGTTTGTTACAGAGCCACCCAGCTGCCCTTTGTCCTTGGCTGTGGAAGAAGTGAGTGAAAACTCGGTTACGCTGACCTGGAAAGCCCCGGAGGAGACGGGCCGGTCGGGCCTGGATGGATACGTGGTGGAGATCTGCAAAGATGGAAGTAGGCTTGGGTTTTCCTGCCTCGTAAGCATGGGGAGCTGGTATGTTGCTATGGAGGCGTGGGACAGAGCTGGGCAGGACCCAGCAGCAAGTTTCCCTGGGCACAGTTGCCCTATTTTTGCCCGAATGGTTCAATTTAAATAGTCTTCTTTTTCTTTTTTCTCATGGAGGAGAGGGTTTTCAGGTAGTAGTGGCGTCCTTAGCAGGGGGCTGGGCTGGGTTTAATTTCACTGCCTCGACCACCAAACCCACTGAGGATGGTCTCTGATGAACTCCAGCTCTGCAGACACCTGGGGTTGGGATGTAGATGAAGACCTCAGGAGGAAGAAGGTGCACTTCTCCCAGTTTTACCCAAAGTGAAGGGCAGAAGGAATGAGGATGAGGTGGGAGGATGAGGGAGGAAAGGATGTTGGAAAACGCAAGACGAGGTGGCATGAATCAGCAGGCAATGCCCCTGTGAGATGGGGCTTGAGATGCCTGGAAGGAGGATGGCTGTGCTGGGTGGAGGTGGGCTGGTGGGTGACAAAAATTATCTGTGCTTCTCCGGTTGCATTGCTGGGCGGTGGAATGGGGTAGGTGGGTAAGACTTGAGTTTTGGGTGCTTTCTTGAAGCCCTGCTCGGCTTTGGGGTGAGACTGAATGTCGCATGTGGCTGGGGGGATCTGCAAGGGGAGGCTGGGGCTGGGGGCTGCGTGAGGCTGGAGGGCTTTGGGAGCCCCAGGTGGCCCGTGGGCCTTGGAGGACTTGATCAGGACCCTCAGCTGTCTAGTTTGTGGCAGGCACGATCAACACACGCTTGGCTGTGGGAGGCTTTCAGCATTGGGCAGGGGGTTGGCTAGGTAACCGCGGCTGGATGGGATGTCTGAGGAGGCCCGTGTGTGACACAAGGAGAGATGCAGCCATTCCTGGAAGGTGTTGGCTGACAGCCACCCAAAGCCATGGTTCTAGATGCTCTCCTAGCTTGCTTTGGGCTTGGCTGGGCGATAAGTCATAGGTAGCCACGTGGGCTCTGTGACTGCTGCATTTGGGCTGGTGCAAGACTAAAATATAGTGAGATTTGAGCCTGATTTGAGTGATGCCAGTGGTGAAG